AGAGGGGGGGGGGTTGAATGTATTCATTTAGGAGAGTGTTGAGAATTTGCATAGAAGGATGGAAATCAAACGAAATTAATGAGCAGTGAAACCGTCAGAAACTGAACGGACAGACTCTCTATTGGGCACTTATACCTTCTAGGTTGGATAGAATAGTCCAGGACCCACTTTCCTTTAGGCTTTTTTTTCGTATGCTGCTAACAAGGAGAAAACTTGAGAAAAATTGAAAAGTTAAGTTGCTAATTCTAAAACAGAGAAATGAGTGGAGAACCATATTGGCAATGCCTGTTTTAGACACCAGCAGATGGTTTTTATTAAATTATTGCTAGCATCCTTCGGATTGCCAGTTGTATAATAGGTTAATTAATTCCTCGTTAAGTTTTCAACTTTTGTCGTCCCATCTATAAAGATAAAGTGATTAAGAATTTCTTTTAAAATCAAGGGAAACGGGAAGTTCCATTAAAATTTATGTTCGAAGGTAAAGACGATGTAAACGAAAACATTGAGCAAAACGTTTTCTCTTTTAGTGTCACTGAATACAATGGCAAATAGCTTTCTCGAGTGATGGGGATGAAGGAGAGATGGAATACGTTCCCGTAGTTAAAGAAAAAAAAAAGCCGAGCAGGGCAATCAATGGTTGTATTTCAAAATTTTATTCATGTGTGCAGCAAGTTGTGTATCATATTTTTCATAGTTCACAAACTGTGTCAACACCTAAAAGTACCCACAATACGCCGGAAAAGGGTCAAAGTTGACGGAAGTGGGCCGAAAAATAAACAAGATTACTGGAGAACACCCCACGATTTCAGGCAGGGACTTTTGAGTTTGGGTAAGTTTTATTTTATATCTACCGTTGATGTACTTTTGGGAATTATTTATGTTTTTCTTTCTGCCAGCTGTCTGTAAATTGAGCAGTTTTGTCAAAAATGAATATCATGATCTGAAAACAGCTCGTCAGTGGTCACTCGGAAGATGGTTGCACTCATGGCAAGACAAGTTCAGGACACTTGACTCACTTGACTTGACAGACTTGACAATCAAGTGGATACAGGATTTAAAAAACCCCAACAAACTTACTAGAATCTAGAATCTAGACACGGATCGGTATTCTCTAGAGGTTCTGTATACCATGTATAATAAAAAAAATAATTTGTAGATCTAGAATCTAGAATCCAGATCTAGATTCTAGAATCTAGAGATATATCTAGATATCTAGAATCTAGACTAGAGAGGTTCTGTTGGTTGTCAACCCTGCCCTAGATATCAGCAGATCTAAAAATCTAGATCTAGATCTAGATTCTAGATCTAGATCTAGATCAAAATAGAATCTAAGATAGACATCTAGATCTAGATCTAGATCTAGTCTAGATCTAGATCTAGTCTATAGATCTAGATCTAGATCTAGATGGAAGGACTTCCGTAACGAGCGACCACCCCATGAAACGCAATAAAGAAGAGGCCTAGACCTAACCCTAACCCTGCCCCTACCCCTCACCCTACCCCTAACCCTAACCCTAACCCTAACCCTAACCCTAACCCTACCCCTACCCCTACCCCTACCCCTACCCCAAGCCCTAAATTCTGCTCTGTCTCATAGTGGTCGCTCGTTACGGAAGTCGTCCCATCTAGACTCAAGATCTAGATCTAGAATCTAGGGAGTTTTCATATCTGTAGATCTAGATCTAGAATCTAGACACAGATCGGTATTCTCTAGAGGTTCTGTATGTATGTATGGCCACCTCTATTCTCACCCGGGGTGAGAATAGTGCAGGCGAGTCTTTTGGCTATTCTCACCCGGTGGGCGTTCACCGTTATAGGCTTAGCCTAGGCCAACCAGTGAAGTGTTCACCCTGAACCACAGAATTCTCAGTGTTCTACACTGTGATAACAGAATTGTAGAATTCTGTGCCGTGAACAAACGTTCTAGATCTATTACTACTGCATAGCTGCCACTTTCCCGCTAAATAGCGGAAACTCCGCTACATCTAGCTTTCCCCGCAACTTTCCTCCTTCCTCCGCTGGACCGCAAGTGGTCGCAAATTTCATACTTTTTTTTCCACGCGGAAAACACCGAACCGGGAGAGAGACGAAAACGCGGTCTGCGCATGTCCGCCCGTAGCTTTCTACTTCCGTTCTTCTAGGCCCAGCGCTAGTTTCACATTGTTTATTGTTGTGGAGCAACACAGTGTCGATCGGGCATTGGGACGTTAGCGCGTCGAGTTGTCATTGAAATTGGCGGAAATTCGAGAGAAATTGATTCAGAATGCAAAAATAAAAGGAGCTGGAATGAGAAAGAAGCAGCCGGTGTGCGACTTGAAAAGTTCATTAGAAAATTGAACTAGCTGTTTTTTGCGAAAGAAATCGCGGCCCGCGGCACTCCTGTTACAGTCCTGTACAATTGCGGTCCCGTTTGTTTACATGACGGCTATTGTGGCTGCTGCGGAAGTGACTCTAGATCTAGATTTAGATCTAGAAAATCTATCTCTAGATATAATCTAGATCTACACATATTTAAATATATCTAGATCTAGATTAGATAGCCTAGGCTATAATTTTAATTCAGTTTATCTCTAAATAAGAAACACACTACAGGGGTACTAAGTGCAAACGGGACCGCAATTGTACAGGAGTGCCTGTGTATCCTTGATCCGATACTGCTCTACGTCTATGTATGTATACGTTTAAAGTGAAAGAAATCTTTTTATGAGACACCAGCTGGCAAAAAACACTAGATTTTTAGTCACCAAGTCCAAACTGTGTCAAATTGACTCGAATGCTTGTTAGTCAACTTACTGCCTTTATGTTGTTGTTTTTGTTGTTGTTGTTTTTTTCAAATACATTTTAATTCAGTTGCCTATGGTTAACAATATGACAGTTTTCCCTTCCAAAACCGTAGGCTAGATTTTCCAGTATATATTGCCTCTGGATCTCACTGGTTTCGGAGAGCGCACGTACGCTTTCGCGTGAATTTCCTCCTTTTTAAAAATTTCTGAGTGACAGCTATGCTACTGTTAATGTTAGCCTAAAAGCGTGCAATTTTGTCTGTGGGCAGTGGAGAGAGAGAAAGAGAGAGAGAGAGGAGTAGCGCGAGAACTTCCGAGCAAAACAAAATGGCGACCCGCGTAGTTTGGCTTGATTCGGAAAGTTAAATAGCCCTAGCATCTTTGTAGACGACCAAATTAATTTAGTTTTATGTTTTAACATCATTTTTTAACTTTATTTTGGTCAATTTGATCGTCCACACTGATAGACAGTATTCAGAAAGAGAGAGAGAGAGGGGAGGAGTAGATCTTGCGAGAACTTCCGGGCAAAACAAAATGGCGACCCGCGTAGTTCGGCTCGATTCGAAAAATGAAATAGCCATAGCATCTTTGAAGACGATCAAATTAGCTTACTTTTGTGCTATAACGTAACTTTTTCTTGGCTTTTATCAATTTGATCATCCACACCGATAGACAGTATTCCGAAATGAGGAAAAACAGGTCCTGTTTCACACCGGGTGAGAATAGCCTACGCTGGCAAGTCTCACCCAGGGTGAGAGGTAGATCGTATTTTTATTCTCACCCCGGGTGAGGATAGCCACTTTCATGTATGTATAGTCTGTAGAGGGGTTTACGGCCTAGAGGTTCTTCTGTTGGTTGTCAACCCTAGATATCAGGCAGATCTCTAGATCTAGATCTACATGATCTTGACTTTGCTTTATGGTAGTGTCAATTGCCATTGAGTAAATTGGAGCTCTTTTGCATTGGTGGGTAGATCTAGCTTATTGTACTCGGGTGCTCGGTGTTGTACGTTCGCCTCTCTGTCCCTCTGTGGGTGTGTGTGGGTGTGTGTGTGTGTGTCTTTACTTTTCCTGACCCCCGTCCCCCGGTTTATGTTCCCCGATATAACATGAATTTCTGCTTGAGTTTGTGTGCGTTTGTGACCTTCTACTTCTAGAATTGCCTCTGTTGGTTCTACACCAAAGTGTAGGCTAAGGCTAGCCTAAATCTAGGCCTACGTCTCATTGAAAACTCGCCAAGTTGGGACCGTAGCTCTAGACTAAATGCTCGTCCAGTGAAATTAGTTTAGTTGAGAACAAATTGACCCTTTAGACACACATTATGTATAATGCTAAAGATAGTGTTGTTTTCAGACTTGACACCGCTTCACTCGGTGGCAATTGACACTACCTTACTTTATCGAAGTGGCTATTTGGACTCGAGTCCGAACAGCCGCTGGAGGCTATTCGGACTCAAATTCCAGTGCGCGTGCACAGTCACCGGTTGTACAGTAAGCGAGGTATACTGGAGTCCGAATAGTCTCCCGTTGCTATTCATTGGGACTTTAAACTACTGGTAGGCTATTACACTGCGTTTCACGACTACAAAGGGATCAAAATATAAAATTCATAAATAATCTGTCCTTATAAGACAGCCCCCCCCCCTCCCCTTTCTCTCTCTCTCTCTCTCTCTCTCTCTCTCTCTCTCTCTCTCTCTCTCTCTCTCTCTCTCTGTCTCTGTCTCTCTCTCTCTGTCTCTCTCTCTGTCTCTCTCTGTCTCTCTCTCTCTCTCTCTCTCTCTCTCTCTCTCTCTCTCTCTCTTTCTCTCTCTCTCTCTTTCTCTCTCTCTCTCTTTCTCTCTTTCTCCATCTTACTTCCCCAGGCCCGCCCCACCACCTTCACCCCTTTTTTTTTTGCATATAGATCTATATTCCCTCCCATATACCGTTGCCCACTGCCCAGCTCTACTATTATATTATCTTTTGTAAAGAAATGACCACAGTACGCACTGTGTCACCGCAGTCGACGTCCATTTGTTTAAGTTCTTTGACCAGATCGTAGAAACCATGGAAGGCCAGGATCGAATTGCTTATCTGCTTCACACCCGGTACACCTAGATCTAGTGATTGAGCACGCACATTGGAGTTTTAGTTCGAATAGCCACGAAGGCTATTCAGACTCGAGAGTCCGAATAGCCTCCCGCGGAGTCCGAAAAGCCGTGGCCTTACTTTATAATTAGAATCTATCTATCAGGTAAATCTATTCTATTCCAACCCAGAATGTCCAGAATCTAGATCTAGATTTCTAGATGATTAGTTCTACATCTTGACTTCGACTAGACCTAAATCTAGTTTTAGAAATCTATTACTTGTAAATTTACAAAGTCACAATGTTTTCATTTTATCCACATCTGATTAAATGTAGAACGACATATCTTCCTGATTGGCTGCTAATAGTAATGTGATGTCATTACGTCCTGGGGTACCCACAGACTATTAAAATTTTAATTGAATACTGTAGAGGTACGGCATGGAATGACGTGTTTCTGGTATGTTAATAACATTTTGGAATTCCGGTGCTTGGACATGATGGAATTTCACTTCGTTGATGCTCAGTTGTTCTCAGTAAGAACGCTGGTGCTTGAAATTGAAACATGGTAAATGCAAAGACCATAAACCGCTCGAAAACTGCCGCAAAGACGCTGGAGGATTACCCCCCCCCCTCCTGCATGCTTCATCACTACATCCATAGAAAACTACAAAACAACAAATTATAATTTATGAGAAAAACTGTTGGTCAGTCGGGAGGAGAAGAGAAGAAAAAAAAGAAATCAAGGACCAGGATTCGTTCCCACGGTCATAAAATAGTTGTAGGACTTCAAACACAGACACACTGTCCATTCGGCCATCAGAACTTCCAACAGCGAAAGGTTGAGGTAGATTAAGCTTGATATAGACACTTCCATCTTTGGTGCCATGCGGTTGGTTATATTTAGATGTAGTCACGTGATCGGAGGGATATCCGGGTCTGACGTAAAACAAGATGGCCACCCTACCTAAAATTAGTTTGTGTCGTACTACGTTTAATCGCATGTCTTTTATCCCCATGCTAGATCTCGGCTTAGTTTGAAACCCAATCTCAAAGTCAAAGGCTCAGGACCTCTCACTCTCCTCATTACTCTCAATCATCCCAGCCCCAGTTAAACACCCCAATGTATTTTTAGTAGACCACACATCCTTTGAAAGGACACTTCAATCTCACTTAGGACATGATAAGAATATCCACTCTTTATGAGTGATGTATGCCTATACTACTATACTATAAGTACCCTAAGTAGCCTAAAGTGTTTGGTAACCCTGGTTTAAACGAACTCTGTCTTGTGACTGTTGTTTCACAGGATACTACTTCCTGTTTCTGTTTTGGCTGTCATCTATAATAAGAATAGTATCCTTTTTTTTCTTCCCTCGGGTGAGAAGAATGATTGTTTTTCTCGCCCGGTCTGAGAATACAATGGATTTTATTCGTATCTGTGTTTTGAGAGCTGTATGCCTATCCTAAATTACAATGTTGTAACAAGTAATAGGATGATAGAAATTTGTGAAATAAGACCGTATAATAATTACTTGATACCCTTAACCATTTGACCGTGTGGCTGATGAATTCAGCCACTGTTGCAAACCACGAGGCGAGGGAATGTGGCCTATCAATAGTCGTCGAGGCCCGCAAAACCTGGCCATGTCGTTTGGAATTGCAAAACGAAGTGGCTTTTTGGACTCAAGTCTGTTCAATAGCCTCCCGTGGCTATTCGGACTCAATCTCCAATGATATCGATTCAAGCATGACTTACTGATTGGTTGATGATTTTCCAAATTAACTCTTCTGCTGTCATTTTAATATTGTTTTTAAATTTAATGTGCATTTTTTTTTTGGCACCAAGAAATGACAATTTTAAGGACTTTACTAACATTTTGAGGTGATACCCCTGCTTAATTCAGACTTTAGAAGGACTGTTGCTTGTCTAACACTATCAGAATATATGTATTGTTTTGTCCTGTTTTTATTTGAATATGTAAAGTATGCTGTTGTAAAACTTTGCCTTTTGACCTCTGTTACTTTGAATGACTGACTTTTGTTCCCTTTGATAGGGTTTTAACTTTTCTCTTATTAATTTTGAACTGGACTTCCAGCTGATCAATAATTTTGTCTTTTTCATCAAATAAAGCGGGTTTAGACTAGATCTACCTATTGATAGTTACAATCCTTTATTGTTCTGAAACTTTGATTTTCAACTTTTTTCATGGTTTTGAGCTCAGATTGCCGTTTCCCTGTTTTCTTTTTTTGTGTAGTATTTCAGGTTTTGCAACTGTTGTTTACTTTTGACGTCACTGGTACTTTTCTTAATTTATGTCGAAAATTTTGACCAGATCCTAGATTCCGAGGAAGGCCAAGGTCGAATTGCCTCTACGCTTCACACCCGTTGATTGCGCACGCACATTGGAGTTTGAGTCCGAATAGCCACGGGAGGCTATTCAGACTCGAGTCCGAATAGCGGGGCCATTGCAAAAATGGCCAGGTTTTGTGGGCTTCGACAACTATGGCAACTGTCGCATTGTATTGTTGTTATGTTTTTTCATTTTAAAGCAAAATTACCGCAAAATGAGCTATTGAGAATTATTTTTCTGAAACCAGTGAGGGGGAAATTTCAGATATCTATGGAAGATATCTCTGTGTGTTTTCTGTTGAATGTCTTTTGAACCTGTTTAAGCTGTGCACAAGGCGTTGAGGATAGGAATGTTTTTAATTAATTACTCTAGAAATGCTATTTTATAATCTGACGGATTATGAGGCAGACTTATTTAGGATGTATGACTGTGGAGGAAATTAAAAGAAAAAGGATGGTGAAATTGACAGATCATGTTATATCTGCTTCTTTGAATCAAGAAGGGTAAGTATAGCAATAATTCTGACAGTGCTAATTTTTTAAATTAACTTGATAAAGTGCAGACTTGTCCATTATATAACATTCATTTTTTAAAAGTTAGTATGGAAAAGTGACTATTATAGACTGGTGACCACTATGGACAAGTTCTGAGTGTTACATGTTTAGACTTGACAAAGTGAACAGATGGTTTAGATTCTGAAATCCTTTTAAATTTCATTTCTATCAAAATTGCAGTTGGTCATATGACAGCTTCTTTGCATTGATTGAACTTACTATACATACACAGTCTAAGGACAGGTTTGCAGATAACTTCTATAGAAAGTAATTGCTATGAGCATCAGTGAGACCGACTTGTCATGAAAATAACTGATCGTGGCTGTTTTGTACAGGGACTGCCAGGGACAGGTTAGGAATATAAAAAAAGAACTGGGGTGTCACGGAACAGTGGTAATTATTACTGGTGACTGATTTGGAGAGGTGACTTCTATGGCTGTTAAAGCAAGTTTGACTGTATTTGGTTCAAAATGTTCGTGAGATATTTTACTTGTGAGCGTCATTAGTTTTGAAGGTTTTTGTACAGTCTATAATAGTGCACAGAAGCAGAGAGAAGTGAGAGGTAGTGGTCAGTATGTGAAGAAGTGAGGGAAAAGAAATCCATCACTCCCTACCTTGACTATGGAGATAACCAACGATGATTCTGCTTGGCTCAGCCAGTTCAGCTAATTAATGGGCTAACCCACTCATGTTTTAAGCAAAGGGTCATAATGTCCCTCAGAGTCCGTCTCTGGCTATTCTTTCTTACTCTTGTTGTAGAATTCAATTTGTGCTATATAGTTGTGGTAGCTATTGCTTCTGTCCAAAGAATCTCAGATTTGACACCTGTGATGCTTATATCAAACATTTCAAATTTCAGAATTGTATGACAGGTCTGGGGGAAAGGAATTGTATGCAGATGCTCATAGTTCAGGTAAATAAAATAATTGAATATGTACTCTTTTCTGAAGACTACCTCAAAGTAAAGAGGGGAAGGACGAGAAAGACAACTCAAATTGTAGAGATAATGGATAGCGGAAAGCAGTTGGAGGAAGGTGAAGGAGATTGAAAACATCTAAAAGAAAGTAGAAAGATACACAGAGAAACCTAGAGACTCGCATGACAAGAGTATAGCATATGTATGTCGTATTGTTATCATTCTTTTTTATGTGTGTCAGAGACCCAAACTCCAATAAATATGTCAGTAGTTTAGTGCCCAGAATAAGATACTACCAGTTTGACTTGCAGTTTATGGTTCTTGTTCAAGTCAAACGTGAATGAACGTTTTTTGTTTTTTAAAAGTTGAATTCACCAACTAGACTAAAGCAGCAAAGTAGTCTTTCAGTCATTGCTGAATGGGTTAATATAAATAGATAGTGGATCATTGTGATTCTAAAATCCTGTCTGCGTGCTGTAATTCAAAATGTGGCCCTCTTAACATTTTCTTACGTTGACCTGGGTAATTTATCAGGTCAAGACTGAAGATAACACTCCTTGTCGCTCCTATCATCCTGGGTGCGTCTGGCAAACATTCTTTCTATTTTATCACTATTGTTGATAGTATCCACGTAGCTTGCACTCAGTACCTTTTTCAAATTACATGACTACTTTTTTTCTGAGTCAGTATGGGAAATAACAGGAAAAGACAGATTTTTCTTTTCCTGACTGAACATTATTAGAATAGATGTGTAGGCTGGCATAACGATACATCAACCCAACCCACTTAAAAGTAGCAACAGGGAACTACTCAGCTACCTTGCATGGGAGGCACAGACTAGATGGAGCTTCAAATAAAATTGCAGACAGCATACTCGGGACCAAATTAAAGGTTGCCCATTTTCATGAGAGTTCTCTCTATATTAAAAGCTCTTCATATTCTGGAGAGAACTATGTCTATGAATGACAACCATTGCTGAACTCTTTTCTCAGGCTTCTTTGACACTTGAATGGATGATTGCTCACTTTAGAGACTAAGTTAATGATTTAAATGTAGAGTATACTTAAAAGGAAATTGGAACTTGAACTGATAAACAAAATGTCTCCTACTTAGATGTGGTGTCGGTAGTTCAGCGGTTAGGTTACCAGACTCGTAATGATGAAGTTGTAGGTTTGGAGGCTTGATGCTTAGGCTTGACATTATGTCCTTGAGAAAGGCTAGGCTCTTCCCACAAATTTTCCTCTCTTTACCCAGGTGTGAATAGGCACACGGCCATAGACAGAAAAATCTTGTCAATTATTGTTTTAGCGCCTGTAAAATGGCTGCTTAGGGCTTGCTCTGTATGCATCCCAGGAAGTTGTCTTAAAGTGCTCTTGTTTAAATTCTTTAGATATTATGTGGCCTCCAGAAAATAACAGATTTTACCCAAAAAGTGCCCCTGACTAGTAGTTTTTAAACGCTAATTTGCCACATATTTTGAAACCCTGTGTATGTTCTCTAACCTTTTTTTTTAGCTGGTTCTATTGGAGCAATATGTTTTTGGTTTTTATTTATATTTTTCTGGGCACAGTCTTGTCAAAGCCCATCTTGAATTTGATTCTTTATTGAAAAAAATTGAAACTTGTGTTATTCAAGTTCAAGAGTTCGTTCGTTGTGTTCCTTTTTATTTTTAGAAAGTTTTTTTTTTCCCCCAGACCCCTCACCCAAGGATGGGGGATTGAGACGTTTGAGGATTCCACCACGGTCAAAGCAAGGAGTCACCACAAGTTATTTGCATTTTTCATCTCAAAATCTTGTGAGCAGAGTGGATTTTTCATGAAACCAACAGTTGTGTTCTTTCGGACAGTATTCTCCAAGAACTCCAGTTTCTAGTTTTTGTTGGATAAGCAAACGGCCCCATTCTAAAAGAGACATGAGCAGTGGTCGTCGCAACACCGGCCCTCGCAATGGGTCTGTCGGGGGAGGCAGGGTCCAGCAAACGAAGTTGGTCCTCTTGGGTGATCAGGGAGTCGGGAAGTCGAGCATTGCCCTTCGCTTTGTGCGGGGTCAGTTTCCAGAGCACAGTGAAGCTACAGTTGGAGGTAATATATCTGAATGTTTTGGGGGGTTTTTTTTATTGTTTGATTGTTAATGGCAGTCAAGAAAAAGTCTTACTTAAATTGTAACTGACTTTTATGTAACTTGATTTAATGATGAACTGTTCCTCTGAAGTTGTATTTTTGTCAACCAGATGTGATACAGACTCTCTGTACAGTGGCTCTTTTTTCCTTTTGTCAAGGAAATCCTTGATTTGAAACCTCTGTGATTGTGTGTGTAAGTGTAATTTAGTAAGACTTGGTAATTGAATCTGTTTGTTTATGTACATACTGAGACTACCACTTTATTGTTACTTTCATTTGGAGGTCTGCATTTTTTGTCATGCACTCGTGCCAGATCGTCTGAGATAACATCTCTCTTTCTCTCATCATCTCCTTGTCTCTGTCTCTCTCTCTCATCCTCTCCTTGTCTCTGACTCTCTCTCTCATCCTCTCCTAGTCTCTGTCTCTGTATCACTTTACCTTACCCATGACTGTGGTGTAGCAGTTGGGGCTTTGTGTCACTTGCAGATGATGCAGGTGTGATCCCCAAGGGAGGAGCTTTCTTATATCCAGTATCTCCGTCTGTTTACTGGGAAGTTGTATCCCTCTCAGTCTGGGGTTAGCCCTGGTAGGCAGGCTGAAGCAGCCCACCTCCTTAATAGCTACAAGTATTCAACTGTCTGTCTGTCTGTCTGTCTGTCTGTCTG